GGAAGAGGAAGAGGAGGAAGAGGGGGGCGCCGACGACGGGGAAGCCGAGGAGGAGCCGGAGGAGGAGGAGGAGGAGGAGGATTTGATCGATGGCTTCGCCATCGCCAGCTTCGCCAGCCTCGAGGCCTTGCAGGTGGGGCCGGAGGGCGACCGGGGCCTCGGGGGCTCGAAGGGGCAGAGGCGCGGGCGGGGAGCCTGGGCTGCTGGCACCCCAAACCAGAGCAACCGGCTCCTCTGGCCGGGCCCCTGCCCCACCCTGGGGCGGGCGGCGGCAGCGCTGGTCTCGGGGCGGCGGGGGTGCCGGCCCGGGCGGCTCTTTGGGAGCCCCCCCCCCAGGCGGGGAGCTGTGCTTCCCCCCGGTTCAGTTGCACCTCCTCCTCCACAGAAGGATGCATCGCTGCAGCCCCCGGAGCGGCTGGAACATCGGCTGAAGCATTCTGGGAAACGGAAGAGGGGGGGCTCCAGCGGGGCCACCGGGGAGCCCGGGGACAGCTCGGATCGGGAGCCCGGCCGGCCCCCTGGGGATCGGCCCCGCAAATGGCCCAATAAGCGGAGAAGGAAAGAGGTGAGCTTGCTGGGACCTCGTCCTCTACCACTGTCAGGGGAAGCGCCTGTCTGAGGACCCATTTTCGGTCCGGAGTGCGGCTGCCCCAGTCTCTGACGGCCGAGAGGGAGGCAGAGCGAACCTGAGGCCTCCCTGTCCCCCGCGCCCAGGTCTGATGAGACCTGCACGGAGTCTCCTTGGGTTTGGTGGGTGTCCGTCCACTGTAAACGTGGTGGGGATTCAGGAGGACTTAGTTGAATCGTAAATAAATTAGATGAGGTCCCTGCTCCTCCCTTGAGGGGGTGGCAGCCCTAACAGGGAAGGAACTGTCAACAAGCAAACACCTGGACCCAGCCTGAGAAGCCACCCCGGCAGGTCTGGGAGAGGTGGCGCAGAAACCCCCATGAGGAAGCCAGGCTCTCTGCCCCCGGGGATGGGAGGAGAGTTGTGGTCAGGGAAAGCCCCCTAGGATGACTTAGTCAGACCCTGAAGTACATGCGGGAGTCTTATGCTAAGAGAGCGACTGGAGGAAAGTTGTTTTGGGCAGAAGTACAGAGGCGTGAGAACCCGGTGTACTTAGCAAATGGCAAGAGCGTTGGGAAGGGGGGTAGGCAGACCTGGTGAAGCAGCTAGAAAAAGAGATTGAGTGCCGGGCATAGTGGCTCACCCCTGTAATCCCAGCACTCGGGAGGCTGAGGCAGGAGGATCGTTGTGAGTTTGAGACCAGCCGAGGCTACAAAGGGCCTGAACTGCATAGCAAGTCCCTGTCTCAAAAAGACCGGAAAAAAAAAAAAAAGGAGATTGAAAGTAGATTGGGAAAGACCTTGAATGCCTGGGAGTGGAGACGCAATTTCCTGGCCAGTCAGCGTCACTTACCTCTGGACTCTGGTCTTTCCCAGGCCTTCTCCCGGCACTCCGTGGAAGCTGGATACATAGTAAGTGCCGTCCACCTGTACCAGCCCTCCCCTCCCCTCCCCCTGTGGGCCGTGCACGTTCTCCCTCTCCTGACACCTGTCTCTCTCCTTCCCAGTGTGATGCAGAAAGTGATCTGGACGAGAGGGTGAGTGGGGTTAGAAATCTGTGGGTGGGCAGCGCAGCATCTGAGAAAACGGACTGCCGCATAAAGGCCTCTGCCTGCAGCAGACACCTCCCTCTGAGTGGGGAGCCTGGGCTAGGGTGAGCCAGGATTAGGCCTTGGGGAAGAAGGGGGCGTTAAGAGGGTACATGGCTTTTCATTGTATTTGAGACCAGGGCTACCGCCCAGAGAACCACGGGCCACGTCTTGTGTACTGTCCTCTCCAAAGCTCCTGGAGCCACCACTGGTTCTCCAGAGGCATCCAGAGCAGCTGTGGCCTGTAATACCAGCACTCGGGAGGCTGATGTAGGAGGATCGTTGTGAGTTCGAGGCCATCTTGGACTACAAAATGAGCTCAAGGCCAGCCTGAACTGCATAGCAAGTCCTTGTCTCAAAAAGAAAAAAAAAAAAACCCAGAGCAGTGTGAAACTGAGATGGTCCTTCTGTTGCCCACTAGTTTGCCCTTATAATCCAGGTCTCCTAGGTGAGGATCTGGCACAGTTGTGCCAGCGGGTACACAAAGCCGTCGTAGTTACTGTAGGAACTCAGTCTATGAAGGCACATTTTGGTTTGTTAGTAGCACGGGGATACTTGCTGCTTTTGAATCAGCCCTAGCAACTAACGTTCCACGCATTTCCCCCTATGAGCTACTGTCTGCACCCACTTCTGTGTCTCACTTTCTCTCCAGTGCTGGCTGGACCGGGACAGCCTGGAGAGTAGCTTTCTAGCTAAACAGGCGACCGCAGTCCAGTTATGGCGGGTCGCTGTCGCATGAGAAACGAGCCCATCTCAAGAGACCCTCAAGTCTGGGCTTTGGGGCTGGGCATTTAGCTCAGTGGCATAGCACCTGCCTGGCAAGCGCAAGGTCATGAGTTCGATTTCTGGTACCGGAAAAAAAACAAAAAACAAAAAAAAAAGTCTGGGCTTTAATGAAGGATCTTCCAGATTTCAAAATATGAGCGAAGATTTTTGCTGGCATTTCGGGACCAAACAGGTCTGCAGGCCACGTAGGCCTGTGGACAGCAGTTAGTGACATTTTCGTTTTGATTCACCTGCTTCTCCGCTGCTCCTTTGCGCACTTCAGCCCTCCTGGCCTAGCGGGTTCTCGGGCTCAGCCGCTCCACTCCTCTCCCCAAGTGTAGGCCGCCTAGAGCCCTCAGTGTGATGGAGCCCGGCTGAACCGATGGCTCAGACCTACCATCCGTGCCTTCCCCGTGGGCCGCAGAGGCTGCTGGCTTTCCTGGATAGGGGGCTGGCCCAGCGGCCCCCTGAGCATCTCTCTGTCCTTCCTCCCCAGGTCTCGGATGATGACCTCGATCCGTCCTTTACTGTCTCAACCAGCAAAGGTTGGTAATGGGGGCCGGAATGGAGGCAAGGGAGGGAAAGGGGGTGAGCCTCAACTGAGCACGTCTGCCCTCCCGCCCTCGCAGCCTCGGGCCCCCACGGCACCTTCAACGGGAACTGTGAAGCAAAACTCTCCGTGGTCCCTAAAGTGTCGGGCCTGGAGCGGAGCCAGGAACAGCCCCCAGGGCCCGACCCGCTGCTAGTGCCTTTCCCCCCAAAGGAGCCACCGCCTCCACCGGCCCCTCGGCCTCCTGTCTCACCCCCTGCACCCTTGCCAGCCACCCCCAGCCTGCCGCCCCCGCCCCAGCCCCAGCTGCAGCTTCGGGTCTCGCCCTTCGGCCTCCGCACTTCTCCCTACGGCAGCAGCCTGGACCTCAGCACTGGCAGGTGAGTGGTCGGGGCTCGCTCTGACCCACAAGGGCCTGGTGGTTTTGGTGCCAGCTCCTGCATTCTCCATGAGCTGATCCCTGCGGGGCATGACTTGAAAAGGACACTGGGCGAAGTACATTTAAAGAGATTCCTGCAGGACTTACCTGGACTCTGTATATTCATGTGCAAGGGAATACAGTTTGTGCTGTTTCCTACTTTTATTTGCTGGTGAGAACTGTTTGTAAGGTACATCTGTTTGCAGTGACGTCCTTTGGAACATACTTTGGGAAATGCTGACATGATGATTAAGAGCACTGGCTTTGGTGTCACTCAGACCTGGCTGGATTCACATTCTTGCTCTGCCACTTACTTGCTGTGTGATGTCTGGCAAGTCACTTAACCCCTCTGAGCTTCAATTTCCTCCTCTTGTGAAAGGAAACAGTAATAGTATCTTCATCCTAAAGCCTTTTGCGAGGATTAATTCTGAGTGAATTCAGTGTTTCCCAAAGTGTGTACACTCGCGTTCAGTGGGCCGTGGGATGATGTCAGGTCTTTCCTGAGTAAACCATGAGTTAGCTTTTATGTGCTTTAGAAAAACATGTTCAGTATCTGAACTCCTTGACTTCACGTTACCGCTTAGCGTGAGGCGGAAAAAGACTAATTGCAGAAGTAGGGGGTGCAGAGCGGGTGGCTGCGTGGCTGTGGTGGCACTTGGGACGGTGGTGTGAGAGCTGGAGCCCTGCGTTAGCGTGTAAGGCAGGTGCCAGCACTGGGCCTACTGCAAGTGCTCACCGCAGGGTAAGAACTGCTGATACTACTGATGCTGTCATTGTGTCATCGTCATTGTCATTGTTACCATTCTTGAGAAAACTAAGGCTCAGAGAGGGGCAGTGACTTGCTCAAGGTCACCCAGGGCGCTCATGGCGAGCTGGGTCTAGAATTGAGGACTCCTGACCCCGGGGACAGGCCAGCTCCGTGCTGCTTCCACTGTCTTAGGGCGGGAACCCAGGTGGCCTGTTGTAATTAAGCATCGAAGGGAATAATCTGTTCTGTGCCGTGCTTGAGTCGGAAAGGGAAAGTCCTGTGGCCGGAGATGGCAGAGGCGGCTGCTGGGGAGGAGGAAACGCAGAGAGGGAGAAGAGCGGGTGCTGGGGAGGCGCCGCCCACCGAGAACGGGCTCCCGGGAGCGCCGGGGGCCGGGTTCTGCCATCTCCCAGTCTGGAGACCCAGGGTCACAGCATCACCCAAGTTTCTGACCCCTCCCGTCAGAGCTGGCACCTCCCAACCCCTCACTCATCTCCCCACTTCTCTCCCCAGCTCTTCACGGCCGCCCCCCAAGGCCCCGGCCCCTCCCGCGGCTCAGCCTCCCCCCTCATCATCCTCTTCGTCCTCCTCCTCCTCATCTGCCTCTTCCTCGTCCACGCAGCTCACCCACCGGCCCCCGACGCCCTCACTCCCGCTGCCTTTGTCCGCCCACGGCTTTCCCCCCCCTGGGCTGCGGCCCCCACCCCCCCCCCCCACCCCCTCCTTGTTCTCCCCTGGCCCCGCCCTGCCCCCACCCCCACCCCTGCTGCAGGTGCCAGGGCACCCTGGGGCCTCAGCTGCTAACGCCCTTTCTGGTGAGTTTGGGGCCTTGGCCGGGAGGCGGGGGGCCACGACCCGGAGCTTGGGCCCCAGCAGTTTTGGGGGATCTGGGCCACAGCAAACAGCAGGGCTTGAGGAGGGAGTGGCTCAAGGCCAGAGGGAGAGCCAGTGACCTGGGGTCAAGGAGGCCAACATGGTGCAGACAGATTTTAAAGCCTTCTCCCCTCCCCTCCCACAGAGCAGGACCTGATCGGCCAGGACCTGAACTCTCGCTACCTGAATGCCCAGGGTGGCCCTGAGGTGGTGGGGGCAGGGGGCTCAGCCCGGCCCCTGGCCTTCCAGTTCCACCAGCACAACCACCAGCACCAGCACACCCACCAGCACACCCACCAGCACTTCACCCCTTACCCCCCGGGCCTGCTGCCGCCCCACGGCCCCCACATGGTGAGCTCTGCCTTGGGCCAGCGCTGCGGCTGAGGCCTGGGGGGAGGGTGCGGCTCCCAGGGAAGGCCCTGGGCCCCTGGCTGGCAGCTTACTCTTCCCTTCTCTTCCCTAGTTTGAGAAATACCCAGGAAAGATGGAAGGCCTTTTCCGACATAATGTGAGTGTGTGGGGTGTGCGTGTGTGGTGTGGTGGGCGTGGCCGCGTCTGCGTGTGGGCCTGACTTCGGGTCCAGTCTTCCTCTCCAAAAGCGAAAGCCTTGCGCCTGGGAGAGCGCCCCGGAGGGCTTAGGGTGGAGGAGAGGACCCATGGGCAGACGGGCTGGGCCGCACCTCCACCCCCGCTTGGACCAGTCCCCTTCTCTCCACAGCCGTACTCGGCCTTCCCTCCCGCAGTGCCCGGGCTCCCTCCGGGCCTCCCGCCGGCTGTCTCCTTTGGCTCCCTGCAGGGGGCCTTCCAGCCCAAGGTGAGCTCCCGGTCCAGATGACACCACGTGTCCTGCCCCTGACAAACCCAGACACCCTGGTTCCACATCCTGACCCCCAAACCATGCCTAACCTCCTGCCCTCTGCACCTGGCTTTTTGTGCAGCCATGCTCCCTTCCCCTGGCTCGGGGCTAGGTCCCTCCTGTGCTTGGTGCCAGCTCTCCCGTCTGACCCCTTCACTCCCCTTTCCCAGAGCACGAACCCTGAGCCACCGCCACGACTGGGGCCAGTGCCGAGCGGGCTCCCCCAGAAGGGGACACAGGTGAGGGGGGCCAGGGCAGGTCCTGGGGAGCTGGAAGGAGGGGAGAGAGCAGGTCTGGCTTAGAGAATCGCTGGTTCCTGTCTTCAGTACATGGTCAGGGGTGTCCCTGGTGTCTAAGGAGAGAGGATTTCTGCAAAGCACGTGTCCAGCCATGAGGATTAGGAGTGTGAGTGAGGTGGTCCAAGGAGTAAGATGATTATTAGGGCAGTGGTTTTGCACTTCATAGTGCCAGCACTCAAACCCAAGGCCTTGCTGGGCGTGGTGGCGCAGGCCTGTAATCCTGGCACTCTGGAGGCTGAGGCAGGAGAGACATTTCGAGTTTAAGACCAGCCTGGGCTACAACATGAGCTCAAGGCCAGCCTGACCTACGTAGTGAGACCCTGTCTCAAAAAGACAAAAAAAAAACAAACCCAAGGCCTTGCCATGCTAAGTTTGTGTGCTACTACTGAGCTATACCCTCAGCCCAAGCATAGTGGTTTTTATGGGGGTTTTCAATTTTCAGTAACAACTTTTTTTTTTTTTTTTTTTTTTTTTTTTTGCCAAATGACATAATAACCAGGAAACCTTGTCCATAAAACAATTAAAAGATAAGCTTCTCCCATGAGGCGGCTGGGGAGCCCGAACCTTCCCTCCCTATTTGCGGGCGCAGCAGCCTGAGACCCCAGGGCTCTTGGGATATTGTGAAAAGCACAGGACATGTTTGTGAAAGAGTAGACTAGCCCAGAGGTTTTCCAGCATCTTTAGAAGATATTTTTTCCTGAAGAAATCTTCAGTGGATCCCTGTTACATAAACCTGATGAGCCAGGCATCGTGGCGCACACCTCTAATCCCAGCACTCCGAAGGCTGAGGCAGGAGGATCACTGCAAGTTCCAGGCCACCCTGGGCTACATAGTGAGTTCAAGGCCAGCCTGAGCAGTGAGACTTTGTCTCAAAAAAATAATAATAATAACCCTGTTAATAGGGTGGCTTCTCCAGTCGGGAAAGCTGTTCTGCCTGTCCCAAGCCACTCCCTCACGCTCCCAACAGGGCACCTCCCTGGGGCCTGGCTCAGAAGCCTGGTGTTGGCGGAAAGAAACCTAGAGTAGGAAAAACGGAAGAGAGGTTGTGAGCTGGGCAGGAATGGGCCTAGGAAGTGGGTGGGGGGGGGGGGGGGCCCGGGCGCTCTGCAGATGGGACGCCCGATCAGGAAACAGGTCCCAGTTGCCTGCAATCTCTCCTTTACCATCCCCAGATCCCTGACCATTTCCGGCCACCTTTGAGGGTGAGTTTGGTGAGGACCTTAGGCTGCATGAGGCTGGGGGCTGGTGTCAGGGCATTCGGCTGGGGGTGGGTCCTGCTTGGGCAAAGGCAGGAAACCCCAGACGTGGAGGCAGCCAGGTGGGAAGCAGTAGACGCTAAGGGTCTCTCAAGTCACCGACCTGGGCTCAGAAGTAACTGGCCACGGGACCTTGGGCAAGACAGCTGATCTCTCTGAGCCTCAGTTTCCTAGGCTTTGCTGAGTGGGGGTGCTGCGTGGCAAGGCTGGGCCCAGGGCTGGGCCTGGAGTGGCTGATGAGTGAATGTTCTTTCCTTCCCTTTCCTCTGGTCATCCTTCTGGGGCGGCAGAAGCCAGGGAAATGGTGTGCCATGCACGTGCGCTTGGCTTACATGATCCTGAGACACCAGGAAAAGATGAAGGTACTGGGGCCGGAGGGCTTGGGAGAGTGGCTCTGAGAGTCAGGGGTGGCCTGAGCTCTGGGTGTCTTCTTCCTTCAGTAGAAGCCAGCAGACTCTTGGGCAGAAACAGTCTCCTGTTCCTTGTCCCTCCTGAGCAGCTCCACAAGTAGCACCTGTGTTCTCTGGCCAGTTAGAGGGACGGTCCAAGAAATCTCTTGAGACAAGCAGAGAAGGGTACCCCAGCACCCTCTTGGTGGTTGCCAGCCCTTGGAGGGGAGCTGGGGGTGGGAGACCAAGGACAGGGACCTAAGAAAGAAAGAAGCGTAGAGAAAAGAAAGGAAAAGAAACCACGGGACCAGACCTGGCTCCTCACTGCCCCTCTCCCTGTGTCCCACGCAGGGTGATTCCCACAAGCTTGACTTTCGGAACGACCTCCTGCCCTGCCTTCCGGGGCCCTATGGGGCCCTGCCCCCTGGGCAGGAGCTGTCCCACCCGGCCTCCCTCTTCACTGCGACTGGTGAGTCCGGCCCCCCCTCGGCCCGAGGTTACCCGTTTCTAGCCTCGACCACCCAGCCTCATCACGGTCTCCAACCGCTCTGCCCCAGGTGCCGTCCACGCTGCAGCCAACCCTTTCACAGCAGCTCCCGGGGCCCACGGACCCTTCCTGAGCCCCAGCACCCACATTGGTAAGAGCCAAGGGCATATTGGGCAATGCAGGCCTTGTCCCTGACTTCCGGATGTTCCCAAGCTGGGAGTGGGAACTCAGACCCAAGAGATAACTAGGATGGCATAGGCCTGCTTCCATTTGCTTTCTGACCTTGGGCAAGTTACTTAACCAGCTCTGAGCCGTGATTCCCTCATCTCTAAAATGAGTGAGGAGGGTCAAGGTGATCCCCATTTGCCAGCGCAAGCCTTGTCCCTGGGTCAGTGGTAGGGAGTGGATGGCCGCTGGGAGAGGCGGGGTGGAGGAGCATGGCCCCTGGCCCTTAGGGAACCGGGCAGTTTTCTTGGGACATTAACCCTGGTTCTGTGGGAAGAGCAGTGGAGCCTGTAGACACAGAGGTGTTCCTGGCTGGGAAGCTGCGGTTCCCAGGGAGGACAGGCTAGTTGTTCTGATGGCTGCGTGACCTATGGGTGAAGCCTGAGTCAGGCCAGGAAGGGCCCTGCATGTCACTGGAGAGAAGCCAGCAGAGGCCCCTGGGCAAGTAGCTTGCTACACAGCAGGAGATCTAAGCCAGGTCCAGGTGGCCAGTGGGGGAAGGAGCTTCAGAGAGGCATGTCACGTTGATGGTAGCACTGGGTGACATCAGGAAGTCATTTCACCTCTCTGAGCCTGTTTTGTCCTCTTAAAAGCAGGAGTGATCCTATCTGCTTATTGGGCCTTAGTGAGGCCGAGTGCCTTGATGTGAGGGGAAGCTCAGTGCCTTGCCCAATGCAAGAGCTCAGTACATGCTTGTTAAAACCAAGCAACAACAACAACAACAAAAAACAAGCTACTAAGCCAGGCATGGTGGCGCAAGCCTGTAATCCCAGCACTCAGGAGGCTGAGGCAGGAGGATCTTTGCAGATTCAAGACCAGCCTGGGCTACAACATGAGCTCAAGGCCAGCCTGAACTGCACAGTGAGACCCTGTCTCAAAAAGACAAAAATAAGTAAATAAAGAAATAAGTAAATTTTAAAAACCCAAGTGACCAAGGGCTCCAGGGCCTGCTTACTGATCTACCCCTTCCCCGCAGTGCCTTGTGCCTACTCAGTGCTGGCTGCTCCGCGCCTTGACTGTTGCCCTTTTCTCCACAGATCCCTTTGGGCGTCCCACAAGCTTCGCCTCCTTGGCTGCCCTCTCCAACGGGGCCTTTGGAGGCCTGGGCAGCCCCACATTCAGTGAGTGCGGAGGAGGGCGAGGCGGGTGCGGCGGGGTGCTGTGCGAGGCAGGGCCGCCCGCTCCTCCGCCCCTGCCACCTTCTGCTTTCTTTCTGCCCAGACTCCGGCGCCGTCTTTGCCCAGAAAGAAAGCCCAGGGGCCCCAGCAGCCTTCGCCTCCCCGCCGGACCCCTGGGGCCGCCTGCACCGCAGCCCTCTGGCCTTCCCCGCCTGGGTGCGGCCCCCTGAGGCCGCGCGGAC